TGTTATGGGGTATTTTTTAACTTGCGTTTCTTGTTTCTTGTCAGAAATTAGCAGGTTAGTCACATCAAACAAAATCATATCAGCATCATAATTTCCACTAACGACTTCACATTAAGCAGAAAGTCACACAGAGGGACATAATGAGCGTGCAGGTCTATGATCATTGGTATAGCAGCCATCACATACGTCCATGTTTATCTGTCTTCTGAGCAACGCTTTCATATTGAGTCTTCACTATTGGGGTTGGCACAACTCAGCTCTGTGTACTTTGAGTTCAGTTTATGAACTTGAACCACAACAAATAATGGTCCCATTTACTTTGACATCTGATAGCACATTTCTTATAACTGTCATCATTTATAGAATAATTATGAATTTCAATATAACCACAACTTTTATAAGGATACTGTTTAAATGAAATGAACATCTGCAATAGTCTTACTCTTGTGTTTATCTTTTCACACACAGTTAATCCAATCAAACGTAACAATAAAGGAATAAAATCCCCCTTCCTCTTGTTTCTACGTGTTTCTATCAACTTATGACAGAAGCACCATCACACTAAGCAAAGAAATCATGCATGTAAGTGAAACAACAGTGCTTTTTGTCTGAATGAAAAGCTGAAACAGAGCTGATCCTTTACATCAGACATCAGGCAGAACAGGGACCAGATCTGGACCCAGTGTTGAGATTTCTCTGTAAAGTTGCGACTGTTTAGTCAGGATTTAAACCGAAAAGGAACAATTCAAGCGTTTTATCTCTTTAATGAATTTTTCTCAAGTTAAGCACTTAATCTAAATGTGGGCAGTTTTCATATTTATATGGTGAGAATTTCAGCAGGCACACATACATATCTGTTCAGTTTTATGTTGTGTCACCAAAAACTGTTTTTGAATTATTTGTTAAAAGGTTTTGAAATGCACAATCATATGAAAATATCTGGGAACGTCTCTCCCTGCATAAATATTCACTCTTCATTCAACAAAAAGATAACAGTGGCATGTATTTCATTTCCTCCTCATTTCCTACATCTGAGTACTGGAGTGTTTCACAAACATCTATTTTTAGTGAAGCAGTATTTAGACGTACAGAATGGAGTTAGTTGTAAAAGCTGGCTGTGCAACAATTTGGGTATCGTTGTAATTTTACTGACTGAATACTGATTACTTGCAACACTAAATCAGTTGGATTAGCTTGTTAAGCCTTGAACTTCATAGGCAAGCATGTCCAATCATAAGAAAATGTATTTAAGGTGGAGACTTTCAAGTTGTGCTTCTCTTTGACACTGAACACTGACAGAACTGGATTCTCAAAGTAATTCTCAAAAGATCTGAAGACAAAGATTGTCAGTACTGTGGTTCAGGGGAAGGCTGCAAAAACATCTCTTAGAGGTTTGAACTCAGTTTCAACTGTAAGGACAGTAATCAGGAAATAGAAGAGCACAGGCACAGCTGTGGTTGAACTCAGGTCAGGCCAAGAAAATTACAGGAGCTGCATATGCAGCGGACTGTCAGAATGAATCACCTCCAAAACCCTGCAGAGCATCTTGCTGAAGATGTGTATTTGTACATATGTATGGGAGGGTATTGAAAAAAGGCCTTTCTGCACTCACACCACTAACAGAATCGCTTGTTGTATAAAAGCTCATTTAGATGAGACAGACTGACACTGTGCTGTGGAAGAATAACACCACATTCCCCTGAATTGGATGTCATTGAAAATGTGTGGGATAATTTGAAGCAGGCTGTTGATGCTTTTTTTGCTTTTTTGTATGGAAGAAGGATCAAACATGGCTTCATCTAAGATCCAGACACTCATCAAAGGTGTCTTGAAGTATATTTGCAAATAAAGCTCAATTAAGTGTTGATGTGCTTAAGTGTTAACAAAAATAATGAGACATTACGATCATCTGGATCTTTGCATCAAGAAGTTTTCTCTAACTGGACTCTCTACATTTCAGTTTAATAACAATAATAATACTTAATCAGTGTGTGGTGGGGTAATGTTTATTAATATTGTACAGTTTGATGTAAATACTGACACTAACTGTATATGTTCTGAATGACAATAATATGGCTATTCTGTTCTATTCTGCATTACCAAAGAGAGTCGAGTCAGCAAATTCTCATTGAGTATAAAGGAAACACAAACCTCCCAATTTTTGGACTCCATCTGCGTCTTCAGATTCTCTGCTGTGTCTTTCGCCTCCTGAAGCTGTTTGATGATTTCACTGTCTGTCTCACCCTGGAATTGAAATGTTACATGAGGAAAGAGCAGAAGAAAGAAACAATCATGTTTAAGACAATAATGATAACACAATCAGAGTCAAATAAAAGCTGTATTATGTAAATATTGTTCATCAGTGCTGCTGATTTAATGAATTATGTAAAACGCTGCGTCCAGATGATTTAAATTTAATATTAATTTATTCATTTATATTGAAGAGTCTGACGGTGAGTAAATATTGATGTATGTAATTATTCAGTTCAGTAAAGTCAGTAAATTCAGAATCTTTATAACAGAAAGACAAACCTGAAGCTGCTTCAGCTTCTCTGCTGTTTTTTTGTCCTGCTGGAGCTGTTTGATGATTTCACTGTCTGTCTTACCCTGGAGCTGAAATATTACATGAGGAAAGAGCAGAAGGAAGAAATGTTCATGTTTAAGACACAATCATGATAACACAACCAGAGTTAAATAAAATCTGTAAATAAAAGCTGTATTGTGAAAATATAAGTTGGAAAATATAAATAAATATTTGTAAATAACTGAAGATGGTAAGGAAATATCTTAGTTTCAATGTAGTGTCTCTGAACCTAAAACCAGGTTTTACTTTTTACTTACTAATACTTTGCACGCACAGCCCAATGTTCATTAGTGCTGCTGATTTAATGAATTGTGTAAAACGCTGCGTCCAGATGAACAGAATCAACTTTCTGGGAATACGCATGGACAATTTTTTCCTATATACTTACATATATGTGTCCTGGATTTTTTATTTTATTTAACTGAGACACGTAGATTTCAATTTAATATAAATTTATTCATTTATATTAAAGAGTCTGACAGTGAGTAAATATTGATGTGTGCAATTACTCTATTCATAAATAGAGTTGGGTCAGTAAATTCAGAATGTTTATAACAGAAAGACAAACCTGAAGCTGCTCCAGCTTCTCTGCTGTTTTTTTGTCCTGCTGGAGCTGTTTGAGGATTTCACTGTCTGTCTTACCCTGGAGCTGAAATATTACATGAGGAAAGAGCAGGCGGAAGAAATGTTCACCTTTAAGACACAATATTAATAACACAATAGGATTTAAATAAAGCTAGAAATAAAATCTGTATTATGTAAATATAAGCTGGATAATATAAATTAATATTTGTAAATAACACTAAGGAAATATCTTTTGTTCAATTTAGTTTCTAAAACTAAAACCAGCTTTTACTTTTTCCTTACTAATTATATGCACAAAGGTGAAACATATTTTGCTTTATGCTTGCTTAGCAACTATTGATGCAGAAGGTGTTAAAGATAAGCATGCCATGAATAAGTCGACAGGAAACATCTGGAGGGTGAGACAGCCATATAGGGTAAAATGTTGTTGAACACGGAAACTTGTTTAACTGTCATTAATTATAACTTATATTCTTTATTGACGCGAAAAGGGGCGTGAACCCTGACATAATAAAACTATTTTAAAAGTATGCTTTGAGCAGAGATCTGTGTTGACAATGTAGTGCTGCGTATCTTCCCACACGTGTGTTTAATAAATTGAATAAATGCTTAAATAAAAAGGATATCGAAGAATAAACATGATATAAAAATTATATAATTCCCACAACACATCAGTTCTGCTGATTTTTTTAATTGATTATATAAATCTACTGTTCATAAGGTTGGGGAAACCTGCAGTCAGCTGAAGCTGACGAAGAAGTTACTTGGATGAGTGACAAACGTTTCTCCCACTGAAAACGCTACGTCCAGATGAACAGAATCAACCTTTTGGGAATATGAATGCACACTGTTTTTTCTTACATGTATCAATCAGTCAATCTTTATTTATAAAGCACTTTTCATACAAAGTGCTTTACATGGTTAAAGGCAGCCCACCCCACCTCGCCCTCCAACTCACTCCCCACACTCTCATTAACATAAACGATCATGGATACATACATCTTTTATAAAAAGATAAAATAATTAAGAATGGGATACAATATAAATATAAGAAGAGTAAGAAGATAAAAATGAATAAGAATAAAATCAATAAATATTAGGTAAAACCTAAATTAATAATATAAATAGAATAACAGGATAAATAAGCATAAATAAATAAACGTTAAGTAAAAGCTAAATTAAAAAGCTTAATTTTAATTTTTAAGCTAAATTAATTATATCTGGGTTTTTTTAAATAATTTAGATGCTAATATTTTGATTTATTGATTCATTTATAATGTACAGTCTGATGGTGAGTAAATATTGATGTGTGCAATTATTCTATTCATACAGAGAGTTGGCTCAGTAAATTCAAAATGTTTATAATGGAAACACAAACCTCCAGATTTTTTTTCTCCAGCTGCTTCAGTTTCTCTGCTGTTTCGTTCACCTCCTGGAGCTGATTGATGATTTCAGTATTCTCCTTCCACTACAGGAGAAATGTTACATGAAGAAAGAGCAGAAGGAAGAAATGTTCATGTTTAAAACACAATCATGATAACACAACCAGAGTCACATTAAAGCTGTATGATGTAAATATAAGGGAGCTGATGTAGCATGATGTTAACAACATTAAGTGTTGTGGGATGACGTCAACAATCTTGCAGTGGTAGGATTTCAAAGTTGTGTTTGGTTAATGATACAGAAGCTGCTGCTGGACAAAACTGCAGGAATATAAGTGCACAGGTCTGTGATCATTGGGAGGATGACAGCATCACATGTGTCCATGTTTACCTCTGTGTGCTGAGAGATGCTTTACAGACCTTTGATTCCAGTGTAGGAAATGTTTTCTTCAGCTTCTGAATGATTTCATCCTTCTCCCTCTCAGATTTGATCATCTGTCAGAAAAAAAGACAGACAGATGTTGATGTTTCTGCAGCATTTTGTTTATAAAAGTAACAAAATTATTGAAGCTTCACACTGTGAGTAACATGTTTCCAACCGTACTCAGTCTGATTGGTGGTTTTCTATTTTTTAAATGATACACACTGTATAGAATAAAATTTCTCTACTTTGTCTAAGAGAAACCAAGATTGCGTCAGTGTGTACAGCCTCTGCCGGAGGTTTCTTCCTGTTAAAAGGGAGTTTTTCCTTCCCACTGTCGCCAAAGTGCTTGCTCATAGGGGTCATATGATTGTTGGGTTTTTCTCTGTATCTACTGTACAATATAAAGCGACTGACTCAGGAGACTCAGCTCTGTTTTTGCTTTTGGATCTGACCGCTGCCTTTGATACTGTTGACCACAGCATCTCCATCTCATGATTGGAGCATTGCAGCATCAAGGTCATTCCATCAGAGTGGTTCAGGTCTTACCTGTCTGACAGGACTTCCTCTGTGAGCTTTGGAGATTTTATCTCTTCCTCAGCTCCCCTTACTTGTGGTGGCCAATTTTATTATCTATTTATATGCTGATTCCAGGTCTATTTTTTGGAAAATATAACATGTTTCCATTCATATGCCAATGACACTCAGATCTGTCTTCAACTGAACAGAAACTGTTCTGCCCTACCTGAACCCTTACTTCAGTGTCTTGGTGAAGTTAAAGCCTGGATGTCTTCTAACTTTAATAAGAACAAAACCAAAGTGATAACTTTGGGACCAAGTTGCAATCCCAGCACGTCTCTTGTTAACCTGCACAGTATTGAACCTTTTATAAAATTGCATGCCAAAAATGTGGGGTTATAATTGACAGAAAGTTTGCATTTGAAAAAACAGATTAGCCCAGCGGTCTTTTTCCAACCTTATATCTATCTCTGAAATAATTTTTATCTTTTACAAACTTTGAACAGGCGATCCATGCTTTATTACATCCCAGCTTTACTATTGTAACTCCTTATATGTTGGAGTTGACCAGAGCTGCTTTGTAAGACTGCAGTTGGTCCAAAATGCCGCAGCTCATCTTCTGACACGAACTACACATTTCCTCGGTGCTTGCCTCTCTTCACTGGCACACTGTTCACTTCAGAATTTATTTGAACATTTTATTGTTAACTTACAAAGTTAACTTACAGCGGCCTTTTTTTAAACTGAGGTGAAATCATTTTTATCTTTTAAAAACTTTGAAAGGATGATCCATGCTTTTATTACATCCTAGCTGGAGACCAGCTGCAGTTGGTCCAGATGCTGCAGCTCGTCTTCTAACACGAACTAAACGACTTCCCATATTTCCCCGGTGCTTGCCTTCACTTCAGAATTCATTTTAAAATTTTATTGGTAACTTACAAAGCCCTGAAGGGACAGGCTCTCAGGTATTTGTCTGACCACCTTCTAGGTCTCTTAGATTAAATTATCTTTTTCTTTTAGCCACACAAAGGTCAAAGCTGGTTCACAGAGGTGATTGAGCGTTTGGGGTCGTAGCTCCTAAACTGTGGAATAATCGACAACTACACATCAGACAGACTCCTACTGTCAATCTTTTAAATCTTATCTTAAAATACATTTGTATTCACTGGCTTTTAATAGAGTATGAGAGTTATTTGGTATTTGATGTTTGGTACTAATATTATAAGTTATTTTACTAGTTATTTTGTATTTTTGTAAAGCACTTTGATCAACATTGCTGTTGTAATGAAATGTGCTATAGAAATAAATAAATGATAAAATGTAAAGAATCTAAATTATGTAAAGTCACAAACTCATAAAAACTAAACTCAACCAAAACTGCTGAGGGTTGGTGCTTCAGCTTATGAGCTGTAATCAGTTAGAAAAGTTAGAAAACACTCTGATTTGATGGGAAAAACATTTTTCTACTTTACTGAAGAGTTGATTGTTCCATCCTCTTTCATCAACATCTAAAAATCCCTGAATAGGGAGGAAGGTGACTGTTTATTTACTGAGATCAACAGCAGCATGTGTAGCTTCCAAATCCATATTTAAAATATATTTTACACCTTTAAATTTAGTTTTATTTATTCATTCATTTATTTGTTTATCTAAATAGTCTGTTAGTCTGTAAATACTGATTTGGACTATTATTTTATTCATAATAATTCATCAGAGCTGAGTCTGCAGTTTCATAATATTTATAATGAAAAGACAAACCTGCTGATTTTTGGACTCCAGCTGAAGCTTCAGGGTCTCTGCTGCTTGTTCCAACTGCTGGAGCTGATGGATGGTTTCAGTTTTCTCCTCCGACTGCAGGTGAAATGTTACATGAAGAAAGAGCAGAAGGAAGAAATGCTCTCTACTGAGATCAACAGGAGACTTTCCAGATTGAAATCTAAACTAGAAAACTGAAAGTTGTTGCTTCTAACATGTGAATGACAATCAGATCAGGAACGATCCTTTTACACAGGAGAGCGTTTACTCCTCTCCATCAGCCTACGACAGCAGCACCATCACACAAAGCCAACAAATCATGTATGTAAAGTGAAGCAGCAGCTTTAGTTTAATGAGAAGCTGAAACACAGCTGATCCTCTGCATGATCACAAACACCAGAAGTGAAGTTTCTGCTTTGACTGTCATGGTCCTGAGTCAGTGACACAGTGGTTCCAGGTCTCTGGACTTTATAATGTTTGGATATTTTATGTTGGTTTCATTTATTTTATGCTTTAAGTGTGTTTAGGTTAGAATAAGCCCTCCCTCTGTGTTCCCCGTCCTCTCGTGTCTAGTTCTGTTTGTTATTTGTGTCTCAGTCTTGTCTCCATGCTTATTTGCCTTTCTGGTCCCCAGTCACGTCTCTCCGTCTCATTTGCACTCAGTGTGTCTCAGTGTGTGTTTCTCATGTTTCCCATTTTATTTCAGTCTCCTGTCCTGTGTGCATCATGTCCAGCTGTGTTCCTCGAGTGTCTCCTCTCTGCCCTGATGTCCTCTTGTGTATATAATGTCTGTGTCTCCGTCTATTTGGTGTTGTGAGCTCTGTCTAGCTGTGTGTCTTGTCTGTTTAGAAAGTTTCTGTAGTAGTATTTCAAAGAGTTAGTTCCCAGTTCATGTTCACGTCACCTGTTTTCTGGGAATTTAGCAATAAAACTATTTCCAGCACAGTTTTGCCTGAGAGTCCACAACTCTGCCTCCCACAGAAAATTTACCATGACACTGACTGAGGTTTGGTTGTAGACTGCCTCAAGATCATGTGTGGATGATATATTTAGACCCTTAGATTTAGATTTGTTTGTTTTTCGTTTATACTGTAAAGTCTGCTGGTGAGTAAGTACTGATGTGCACTTTTATTCTATTCAGTTATAGAGAAATGGAAAAACAAACCTCATGAGTTTGGAGCTGCAGCTGCTTCTTCAGGTCTTCTGCTTTTGTTTCACCTGCACGAGCTGTTTGATGATATCAGTGTTCTTCTTCCACTGCAGGTGAAATGTAGCATGATGTTAACAACATTAAGTGTTTTTTATTTATTTATTACTTATATATAAGGAACCCCATTAGCTTCCACAACAGTGATTGCTGGTCTTCGTGCACAATGCATAAAAATCAAAACCCCTCTTACAATATTTACAATAATCAAAAACTGTGTAAATACATTTTTATTTTTTTTAAATTAGGAATAGTAGCTAGTTCTCTAAGGCAGTTATAAGGCAGTTTATTCCTCTTAAAATATGCTCTCAATATAATGATTTTTTAAAAAAAAAATTGCTTTTGGATCAAGGAATTACTAAATTGCAGTTTGTTACACACCGTGTAGCATGATTGTGTATTTCATACGATACTGCAGCTGAGCAGAGAAACATGTGTTGTGTTTAACAGTGTTGCTTTCTTTATAAATAAAAAGAAGCCAAAGTGTAATTTAGTTTGTACTGGAAGCTAAAAACGTTTATTATCTATTCGATCGTGCATTAATAACATCTTATTTAGACGGAGCATTTCCTAACCACAGCTGTGGCCCGTCTCATTTTCTTAATGACAGAGTCTCTATGCTGAGACCATGAGGTGGTGATTTATAGTAACACCAAGTAGTTTAATCTGGGTGATCCAGCTATGAAGAGAATCAGTTGTGGACTGTTGACTAAACTCTACTTCCAGTTAACATAGATTTAGGTTTAGATGAACTAGAATCGTGTTATTTTTACGTACTGAGCGATCCTTCCACTGACCTTTGTTTCCAGTGTAGGAAAAGTTTCCTTCAACTTCTGAATGATTTCATCCTTCTCCCTCTCAGATTTGATCATCTGTCAGAAAGACAGACAGATGTTGATATTTCTGCAGTGCTTTGTTGGTAAAAGTGACAAAATTACTGAAGCTTCACACTGTGAGCAACATGTTTTGTGGTGATCTGTATGAAACAAAACCTACACACAATATTCGAAGCACATAGTGCACACTGTGGGAATTTACGACTGTGTGTAAGGCTCTGATATCTATTCTGTGTGACTTAAAGCAGTTATGACATGGTCTGATTTTCTCCCCCAATAAAGGAATATTTCATATATCAGTCTATTCTTCATTCTATCAGAAACAGTTTTCTGGTTGTAAACTGTCTCAACACGTTTAAACTCAAAGATCCAAAGATTCTGTGATAATATGCATATCATAGAATCTTTGTCATATGCTAATAATAACTCACTAATAATATGCAGAGAGACTTTTTAATGTTCTTAAATAAATATAGCCTAGAATTTTTTTTCTACACATATTGTAGAAAAATACTGGTGTGCACTTTGATTCTACAAATTCAGTCAACAAATTCATAATGTTTGTGGAAACACAAACCTCACGACTTCTGGACTGCAGCTCAGCCTTCAGCAGCTCTGCTGTTTGTTTCACAACCTGGAGCTTTTTTAACACAATAATGAAACAACCAGAGTCACATTAAAGCTGCATGATGTAAATATAAGGGAGCTGATGTAGCATGATGTTAACAACATTAAGTGTTGTGGGATGATGTCAACAATCTTGCAGTGGTAGGATTTCAAAGTTGTGTTTGGTTAATGACACAGAAGCTGCTGCTGGACAAAACTGCAGGAATATAAGTGCACAGGTCTGTGATCATTGGGAGGATGACAGCATCACATACAGTATGTCCATGTTTACCTCTGTGTGCTGAGAGATGCTTTCACTGACCTCTGAGTCCAGTGTAGGAAATATCTGCATCCGCTTCTGAATGAATTCATCCAGCTCCATCTCAGATTTGAACATCTGTCAGAAATAAAGAAAAACAGATGTTGATGTTTCTGCAGCACTTTGTTGATAAAAGGGACAAAATTATTGAAGCTTCACACTGTGAGCAAAATGTTTTAACTATTGTGTCCTCTTACTCAATCCGATTGGTGCAGTTATTTTAATGATTAATTTAATTACGGTCACAAACTCACTAAACTAAAGTCAATTTATTTCATCAGCACTTTATTAAATACAACAAATGAGTGTTGGTGCTACTCTGCTCCAGGTTATGACCTTGACAATAAATTGTAGACTCTGATGCCTGAAAAAAACCTTTATTATTTCTGTCAATGTGAATTTTATAGAATAATTAAGGATTTAAACAGAACCACAGCTTTTACAAGGATACTTTAGTACACAGGTGAAACCAGATATTTACAAACACTTCATAAAAAAACTTTTTTCTTTACCGTCAAACTTTTTTGTTTTGTTTTAGATCAATAAATGTTAACATATTTTTGTATTTGTGTAATGTCAGTATAAAGACAAAGAACATGTTTTTTCATTACTTTCATGCACTAAGTTTATTGTGTCTTTATCTAACAAGACTTCAGGAAAACAACAGTGGACTTCCACATGTGCGGCTCATCTATTGGTGCAATTTCCAGATAACTGAAGGTCCCACGTTCATCAGTTCAGACAATAATACACAAGTATAAAAACATGGGAACGTACAACTGTCATACTGCTTGTGTAGGAGACAGATTCTGAGTCCAAAAGAGGAACATTTTTGTGTGAAATGTGCAAAACAAACCCAGGACATCAGGTAAAGACCTTGTGAAGATGCTGACTGACACTAGAAAAACAGTGTCACTGAGTGAGTCCTGTACCACGAGCTGAAAGGTCACTCTTGGAGGAAAAAGCCATACTTGAAAACCATCATAAAAAAGTCAGACTACAGTTTGCAACATGGGGACAAAAATCTTAATCTTTGGGGACATGTCCTGAGGTCTGACCAAACAAAAACTGAACTGTAATGATAAACTTTATATTTGAGGAAAAAGGAGGAAGCTTTGAAGCCTCAGAACAACATCCCAACTGTGAAGTGTGGAGGCGACAGCATCATGTTGTGGAGCTGCTTTGCTGCAGAAGGGACTGATGCATTTCACAAAATAGATCACGTAAACAGTACACGCTTAAGCAACATCTGAAGACATCAGCCACAACATTGAACCTTGGATGTAAACTGGTCTTCCGAATGGACAATGACCCCAAACATACCTTCAAATTAGTTACAAAGTGTTTTAAAGACAACAAAGTCAGGGTGTCGGAGTGGCCATCACAAAGCCCTGATCTCAGTCCCACAGAGAATTTGTGGACAGCACTGAAAAGGTGAGTGACAGCAAGAAGGCCTACAAACCCAGCCCAGTTAGACCAGTTCTGTCTCTCAGTGAGCCCAGATTCCAGAAAACTATTGAGAAAGTTTGTGGAAGGAAATCTGAAACGTTTGGCTGAAGTGAAACAGTTTGACAGTAATTCTACTAAATACTAAGAAGTGCATGTATGCTTCTGACTCTGATGAAAGTAATAAAAAACCCACAACAAATATCTATCTCTATTCGGACATTTCACAAATACAAAACATATGTTAACAAAAATTGTTACTCTGATTTGATGTTTGACAGTAAAGAAAAATGTTTTTTTTCTGAAGTGTCTGTAAATATCTGGTTCCAGCTGCATCTTTAATATAACGAACATGTGCAGGATTCTCACTCCTGTCTTTGTCTCTTCACACACAGTTAATCACATCAAACGTAACAATAAACAGAAACGTTACATCTCACTTCGACTTAATGCTATTTGATCAGGTGTGTGATAAGGTCAATATTTAATAAGCAATAAGTTCAAATTTCAACAGCACAAAATGCCCTCAGTTTAAAAAAAAAAATTAAAAAAATAAAACTTCCTCCTTTACTGTGAAGCAGTTTTTACAGTGTTTTATCTTCTTTTACCCTCATTGTGCTTTTTGTATGTGGCTAAAGTTTGTTAAACAAAGAATGAGTGAAGGTTCTACATCCTGCTTCCTACAACTGAACAGATAAAGACTGAATCCACACGATGGCCATAAAGGAGCAACATGTTCTTATCCCAAAGCGTAACATATCGACACTGTGACAAATCGTCGGTATGTTGCGCTTTCACCCACCCAACATGTCTGTGTGTTACACGTTTGGAAACATGAGAACCGTGTGGAATGAATCTACACATGTACATTTATTTTACTTTTTCATCGCTTTGAAAAACACTGTCTGACACGATTAAGGCTGTGGTTCGAGTTAGGCCTGGAATAAACAGCTGGATCGTGTCTTACCACCAGGAGCGTATCATAGGGACACTGAAGGTTTGTTCTAGAACCTTTTGCCTCAGGACGTGACAAAACGCTGGCATGTTACACGTTGGGAAAGAGAGCGGTCTCAAAGGAGATGTTATTATTTTGCTTCTTTGTCACTGCTTGTAAGAACCCTGTTCATGCTGTATTGATCCCTTTGCAAAGGTTTTAACTTTCTTTTAAAAAATCTCAGAAAATCACTTTGATTTATTTTTTCCACAACATACAAAAAATCTCTGTGCAGAGAAATTTCTGCTGTGACTGATGCTTGGCTGTAGACTGCCTCAACATGCAGATCTTAAACTGAGTGGGGAGGGTTAGGACAATGAGACCCTGAGATCCAGCACATATTCTTACTTGGATACATCCTGGATTCTTTTTTATATTTCAGACCTTCAGATTTGGTGAGTAAATATTGATGTGCATTATATTCATGAAGAGAGTTGAGTCAGCACATTTTGAATGTTTACAACTGAAAGACAAACCTCGTGAGAATTCTTCTCCAACTGATTCTTCAGTTTCTCTACTCTGCCTTTCACCTGCTGGAGCTGCTGTTTGATGATTTCAGTTTTCTTCTCTGACTGCAGCTGAAATGTTACATGAAGAAAGAGCAGAAGGAAAAAATGTTTATGTTTAAGACACAATAATGAAACACAAACAGTCACATTAAAGCTGTATGATGTAAATATAAGGAAGCTGATGTAGCATGATGCTAACAACATTAAGTGTTGTGGGATGATGTCAACAATCTTGCAGTGGTAGGATTTCAAAGTTGTGTTTGGTTAATGACACACAAGCTGCTGCTGGACAAAACTGCAGGAATATAAGTGCACAGGTCTGTGATCATTGGGAGGATGACAGCTTCACATATGTCCATGTTTACCTCTGTGTGCTGAGAGATGCTTTCACTGACCTTTGAGTCCAGTGTAGGAAATATTTCCATCAGCTTCTGAATGATTTCCTCCTTCTCAGAGTTGATCATCTGTCAGAAAGAAAGACACAGATGTTGTTTCTGCAGCACTTTGTTGATAAAAGGGACAAAATTAATGAGGTTTCACACTGTGAGCAACATGTTTATGTATAGAAATACTTTAACAGACAACAAATAAACAAAATAATTGTCCTTCCTTACTCTGCAACTGCAACAATGGAAGGCAAAACACATGTGTGTGATTACACAATGCAATCACACATTCATTCATAAAAAGTTAATAAATTAAGTTCTATATAGAAATAAGAGAATTTGAATGAATTAGAAATTTGGTGTCAAATAAACAAAATTATATCTAAAGTTTCCTTCATAACTCTTTACAATACAGAGATAAAGAGGATTTTGTCAGCATATTAAAAATGTTTACAGTGGAAGAACAAACCTCGTGGCATTTGGACTTGAACTGATTCTTCAGTTTCTCTGCTGCTTGTTTCTCCTGCTTGAGCTGACGGATGGTTTCAGCATTCATGTGAAATGCTACATGAAGAAAGAGCAGAAGGAAGAAATGTTCATGTTTAAGACACAATACAAACACAACCAGAGTCATTAAAGCTTTAAATAAGAGCTGAATTATGAAAATATAAGTTGGTTCATATAAATAAGTAACAATTTATTTATTTAAATGTTTTATTTGAATTATCTAAATAATTTAAATAAATGAAGGCCCAAAGGATACATTTGATTTTGAATGTAGTGTCTCCAAAAATAAAATCAGATTTTACTTAAACACACTCACACACAAAATACAACATTTATAAAATCTGATTTATAAAACGAAACAACTGTTTTGTGTTTGTTGGTAAAAATTAACAGCATCAATGTCAGAATTAAATGTAAAAACATAAAAGTACCTTTTTGACTTTTTCCCTTGTTTCTTCATTCCTCTTTTCCTCATCCTTGAGTTTATTTTCCAGCTGCAGACAGGACGAAGGAACATCACCGTTTTTAACAAAGAAACTATGTTGTTTTAGTACTTTATGCTTTTCGCTTATGCACAAATGACATATAGGATTTATTTATTTATTTAGGAGAAAGACCTGATTGACTCTGGATAAAGCTGCTACACTGGCAACACAAACGGAATTTGCAGTTCAACAAACTAAGTCCATGGAAAGAGCACTTCAGCGATACACCACTAAAACCACCTGATCTTCAACTGGTTACATACACAAAGAAAAAAATTCCTGTGTTAGGCTGAACATCACGCTTTTAGGCAACACTGTTCTACCTGTTGCTCCTACTGCTTCTGTAATCTCTACAAACACATCACCTGCTTCCTGCATCCCTGCTGCCCAGATATTGACTGTGTGCATAAAGTGAAACAACTCTGAAAAACAACTCACATGCCTCCGAACGAGGCAGAATTTTCTTGTAAAACAAAGGGGGGCCTACCAAAAACAAGTTTGGGAACCACTGCTGTAGACAAACACCAGGGTCCTCTCTGATGATGGCCGCCGCCCTCACATCTTATATACACACAGACACAAAGATGTTCCACAACTCTTACACGTTGCCTCGTCTCACCTTCCCTTCAAGGAGAGACATTTACGACTGTTTTTCACTGAGCTGTTGCCTCCCTTCTTCCACAGATGATCGATCTATCTATCTATCTATCTATCTATCTATCTATCTATCTATCTATCTATCTAACTCCCCACAAACCTGAACGTCTCTGACTTACTGCCGCGGCCGCTGTGTGTGTGTGTGTAGAACACATGTGATAGAGCATAAGACACGTTAGTGAAGCTAACCTAAGTGACAAAATGATACAACTGTTACTAAAGTGATATGGTTAAAAAATGTGATCAATACATAGAATAAAGAAATTTCCACCACATGGCACAGAGAAACCTGCAGCGTTTGCTTCCCCCAAACTGTCTGCAACAGAACAAACGTTTTCTACTGTTGAAAAAGAAGCTCTTTCTTGTGTGTGGACTGCAGAGAAAAGGAGAACATATTTGTGAGGCTGATGTTTCACGAGGACAGACCACCAAGCTCTGACAATGCTGCTGAGCACCAAAGGAATTCATAGGGCGAGAATGAGTATCACCCGCTGGTCTGCTGTTATTTACCGCCCAGGTTGTCTGAGTCATGCAGCTGACTGTCTATCTCGTCTGCTTCTGCCTGTTTCTTCACATCTCACTTCGGATGCAGATCTTGAAATGGTAGCTCAAATTTCTGCTGCCATGTCGTCACTTCCAGTTGCTGATTTTCATTCAACTTGACCTGAACTGCTTGCTTTGCTCTCATAAATACAAAGTGTTTTGTCTGCCTCAATCAAATCACTTGCATCTTACTACAAAATCCATAATGAACTCTCAACTCTAAGTAATTATGTTCTCAGAGGCTCATTGCACCATGTACAGTGAGACCTACAGTGATTGCAGTAGCACATGAAAGTCACCAAAGGATTGTGAACACAAAACAAAGATTAAGAGCTCTCTGCTGGTGGCATCGACTGACTACTACTCCAAATGGCCTCAGCTTGCCTTTTCACCTTCTGCTACTACTAATGATGTTGTTCAGCTCCTCTCGTCTGTCTTTAGTCGTCACAGCAACCCAGAGAACATTAATGTAACAGACAAAAGTACACAGTTTACCTCTGAAGCATTTGACTCATTCCTCCATAATACAGGCAACTCTCACAGCAGAACATCTGTCTACTGCCCAGCTGCAAATGGAGCAATTGAATGGTTTCTTCGTGACCTCTGCACCTGCATCCAGACAGCAATCCAGCCGTCACAGCCATGGAAGCAGGCTTCAAGTTTATGGGACAACACTGCATGCAACCACTTCCTTCTCTCCCTATGAACTGATGTATGGCAGAAAGATACTTAACTAGACAGACTCTCTTTGCCTTCTGTCTACTGTAAGAAATATCAGCTGAAGAGGCAACGTTACACTGATGCTGAGCGTCATGAATGGAAGCCTGCTTTTCTACCAGGAGAGAGAGTGAGGATGAGGAAACCACATCACACTGTTAAAGGACCCCAGAATTCCTCCTCCTGTAACAGTAACAAAAACCAAAGGCTTCTTGCTGAGTGATGGAAAGATCTGGATCTGGCACTCGTCTTGTATGCTGTCCCTCAGTGACTGTCCCCAAGACTGCCATGTGTCAAGCATGAGCCTCTCTGTCACAAAGACCATATTGTGCCATAATAGTTGTGCTTGCTGTACTTTAGTTTAACAGAATGGATTACCTGCCACCAACGCAATAAGAACTGCATTAAAAACATAAATAGGAACAATTATTTATTTTTCATTTTACATAACATTCTAAATATTTATATTTATTCAGTCTTGCAGTTTGTAATATTCAGATGTTACAACTGTTGTTATGATTTAAGTTCAGTGTTGGGAAAGTTACTTTTAAAATGTATTCCACTACAGAATACATGCCTCAAAATGTATTTTGTAACGTATTCAGTTACGTTACTCAATGAGAGTAAAGTATTCTGAATACTTTGGATTACTTAATATATTATCATGCATTTTACAACTACATGAATGTACTATTGCTGTGTGATTTATTACTATTACTGAAGGTTAATCGCCTTACTAACACCAACTAGATTTTTAAAAATTATTATAAATGAGTAACAGTAGGCGGACATCATGTAAGGCTGCACTTTTAGCAGCGATCTCATATAGAAAACTATTCCGCGCGTATAAGAAACGGGTCCACGGCTCTGAACCGTAGTAAAGGGACCTCTGGCTAATACGTCGGGTTCTGTGTTGGACTCTTAGCCGAAAACTAGCTTTACTTTGTTGTCTGGGTCGAGTTGTTTGGTAGCGAGAGACAGAGAGAGGTGTTGAAAGGCTACTCCAATGGAACTTATTGTTTTGGAGGAAAAAACAAACACAGTGTACAGTCGAGTCACTGTACCCGTTCCTGTACACTGTATGCCGTACGCTAACAGCATCTTCAGCTCCACCTGTCTCTACATTGGCTCCCATCAGGGCTGTTTACTGAGCCCCTCTGCTGTTCACGCTGCTGACACATGACTGCAGCACTACATCTTCCTCTAATCACATGATTAGGAACGCAAATGACACAACAGTGGTGGGTCTCATTATGGACAACATAGATCTGTCCTATAGAGGACCGGTGCAACAATCCTGAATGTCAAGAAGACCAAGAACTTGATCATCAACTTCAGGACAAAACAGTCCAGTCATTCACCACTAATCACTGACAACAGAGCTGTGGAGGTAGTCAGCAGGGTCAACTTTCTGGGGGTACAGATAACTAAGAAGTTAGACTTAGGCTGACACAAAAAAGCAAATAAATTAAGACCCTAAGGAAATATTTGAGTTTGAATGTCTTGTCTCCCAAAATAAAAGTGACTTTTGGTTAAAACGATAAATGCACAAAATATAACATTTATCAAGTCTGATTTATAAAATGAAGAAAAGATTAAAATATTGAGTTTTTTAAGCTTTTACTTGAGTGCAGCTGGATGTCAGTGTCACTAAAGGGTGTTTAGTGTATTGTGTTGGTCGATAAAGCATCAGTGTCAGAATTAAATGTAAAAACATGAAAGCATTTTTTGTCTTTTGCCTTTGTTTCATCGTCCCTACGCATGCTCAATCATCCAGGTAAGTTTTCAGTGGGAGAAACCTTTCGTCACTCATCCAAGTGACTTCTTCAGTCTCAGCTGACTGCAGGTTTCCCCAAATCTTATAAACAGTACATTTGCATAATGACTAATATGAGCACCACTGAAGGAACAATGGGCTGTGAGGTCAGATCCTTGATCAACATCATCATGTTTAAGGAACACGTCTGCTCAGTGACAAATAGTTGGAGATCAACATATTCCTAAATAAAAAATACACAAAGAACGAGGTTGCCACGTTCTTCGGTCATTTTGCTGTTCAGTTATGTCCTACAGCAACTACGACAACATTTGTAGACGAGGTCCTGAATTTATGTTTCAAATCTATGAGGCACCGGCTGGAAAATAAATGAAAATAAACACCTTCAAGCACGGAGAATACAACAGAATAAAGATTGCTGTCAATAAATGACAGTTAATCACAGCATCACTGCAAACAGCAGATAAATCAGCCTAAAAAAATATAATCAGTACGGCTCTGCTTATTTTCAATGAATTATATAAAATCAGAATTTCAGAATTTTTCTTCAGAGTGTTTCAATCACCAGAGAAAGAGATCTGATTAAAAATGGCAGTCATGTAAATGCAGGAAGTTAGTGTATAAAAAATGAACCTGTTGTTTTGTGGAATCGAGCTCATTTCTCATTCTCTCCATTTCACTCTCCATCTTCTGTTTCTCTTTCTGGGCTTGACTGATGTTTCCAGAAAGCTGCAATTAAAGAGAAACAAAAACAGAGAAGACAAAAGTACATTTTTTATGTTTTTTGTTATAGCATGTGGGTGATTACACAGAGTCAACAAATTAATTTCTATATGGAATCAGAAGTTTGATATGATATGAACTGAAGAATGGAGAACCTAAAGAAAAAACTGTATTTGAATTTCATTATAAGTAAATTAATTAAGCTTTGTCTTAAATTAAGAGTTTTCATATAATTGAAGCAAGTATGTGTGACATCAACACACACTGTTTCAATGAGGTCAACAAAGTTCTCTGTACATTTTCAACCAACAACAACACCCTGAAATAAAAGACAGTCTTCACCCTGATGAGAAAACACTGAATCTCAGAGTGACTGATGTCTGTAAAACTGAGGAGAGTGAGTGTATGAAAGGCAGCAGGACAACATTCAAGGACGAGTACTCAGAGAGTGCTGAGCAGCTAGCACACGTCCTTACAGACATCTTTAACACCTCGCTGGAGCAGAATGTTGTTCCAACATGTTTCAAGTCTGTCACCATAACTCCGGCGCCCAAAAAATCCACCATCATGCGTTTTGCCCTTTGCATTAACTCCCTTAATAATGAAGTCCTTGTAGAGTCCCTTCCACATCAGTCTTTGGCCAAACTGCTCCACAGAGCGATGTCCTCTGCTCGTTACCTGAGCTTTACGAGAACAGTCACCTATGAATGCTGTTTGTTGGTTGATCGTCCCCAGGAGGTGGTGAGAAAACTGACCCCTCCCACAGGCATCAACACCCTCATGTGTATCTAGCTGCTGGTCTTCCTCACTGACAGAACTCACTCAGTGAGAGTGGGAAACAGCATCTTCAGCTCCACCTGTCTCTCCATTGTTTACTGAGCCCAATGCTTTTCACGCTGATGACACATGACTGCAGCGCTGCATCTTCCTCTAATCACATGATTAGGAACACAAATGACACAACAGTGGTGGGTCACATTATGGACAACACAGATCTGTCCTATAGAGGACCGGTGCAACAATCCTGAATGTCAAGAAGACCAAGAACTTGATCATCAACTTCAGGACAAAACAGTCCAGTCATTCACCACTAATCACTGACAACAGAGCTGTGGAGGTCATCAGCAGTGTCAACTTTCTGGGGGTACAGATAACTAAGAAGTTAGACTGGTCACCAAACACATGAGCACTGGTTAAACAGTCTCAGCAGTGTCTGAGCTTCC